CGGTTTGGCCGCCTCTGCCAACTTGCGAGCTTAACGTATGCTAATCGGCTTGTTTGGCTCAGGTGGGGCACATGCACATGCAGATGCAGATGCTGATGCAGGTGATGTCGCTGTGAAATGCATCAAATGTCTGCGGCAAGGAGCCAGCGAATAGCCATCATATCTGCAATGAGCACCGGGAAACCGGCTTCATTCTTTTTATTATAGTATCTATTCTTCATTACATTTGAAAAATTGTCACCATTGAATCAGAGTTTCACTCATTTAGGGGTCCGAACAAAAGCGTGTGCACTCGAGTTGAAAAAAAAATCATTTCAAATTAAGTTTTTTTTGGTGTATATGTGAGACTTATAGAATTTTAGAGGGCAGTTTTGCTGAAATTCCTCGTTTGTGTAGAGGGTATAGCTCGAAATTGTTACTTAAAAAACAACATTTTATGTAATTTTTCCTATGACATGGTCCTCAACTAGTAACTATCATTATTAATAAAATATACCTTTCTAAAAAATAAAGAGGCTTAAAGAACTTAAAACTTCTAAATTAAAAGCAAAAATTTTCAAATTAAAATTTTGTTTATAATACTTAAATGTAATGTTTAAGTAAAATTAACTATACAATTTAAAAAAAAAAAAAACAAAACTTAGATCACACCAAATAGTATATCCTAAACGTATCCTGGTGTAAGAACAGCTTTTAATAATACGTACACGTCATTTTAATTTTAATTATAAATGTTATTATTAGTACCTACTTTGATTTACACTTTAGTAGTTATTAAATAGCAAGCAAGCATTTAAAAGCAAGTAAATTTGTACCCCCTCTAACAATCTGACGGGCGGTAAAAATAATATCTTTTATTAGCATAATGAAGTCATAAACATTGCAGCAGTTAACCCGCAAAGTCAACAAGTCAACAGCACCAGATAAAATCATCAGTCGTCCACATTAACTTCAATTCGCTCCCTCGCACACGCACCGCTACATTCCTGCATCCTTGCATCCTTGCATCCCTGCATCCTTGCAGTCCTTCCTCGCCCGATAAGCGATCGCAAAAAAAAGGGGGAGCGGCATTTTGCCCATTTACATGCAGCGCAGGCAGGGCGGAAACGGAAGTGCCGAGGCAGCTCTGAAATAATATCAAAAATGGCTGCCGGAGGCGGCAACAAAAAGTTGCAGCTGGTCACAAATCATCTTAGGAGCTACGTGCTGCAGCCGATGCCAGTGTTGTAAAATGCTAACGAGCCCCGGCAACCTTTGTTGTCCTGCCACGCCCACAGTGCCGCGCACTCCCCCCGCCCATCGTCCTTATTCCTATCCCCATCATCATCATCATCATTATCATCATCGTCGTCGTCGTCGTCGTCCTTGTCGTTGTCGCCGATGTCGTCGCTTTGAGTGACTTTGGCATGAATGCGGAAGGTGCCCGGCAACTAATTTAGCTGCCTTTGCAAAGTCAGCGGCATTTCATTCCCGGGATTATCCAAGGCGTTCTCGGAAAAGGATTCTCAAAGGAAACTTTCAGAAGCGTGCGTAGGTTAAGCTCTTCCTGGAAGTCACGCGTAACAACAGATTTATGCTTAAGGCAAAAATAACCAATATAGTGCTGCCCTTAAAAATGAACAGATCTGAAATAAAACGGAAAAGAAGAAATAATAATATATTTTGATGTACTGTAATCAAAATAGTGTTTTAAAATAGTGTTTCGCTGTATTAAAAAAAAAGTATAGGTCTTTCCTGAAAAGATACCAGCATTGACAAATATACTTATATTATATTGTAAATTAAAAATGTTTCCATGTACTCGTAATACAATATGTGCAATGATTTACTAGATATGTTTTCCATCATTTTTTCAAAGCCAATTTATTCCACATATACCTTCTTAAAAGTTTACTTTTACTGTTAAACACCATATTTTCAAATAATATATGATTTCATGTATAGTCTTGACTTGATACAATAAAAAATTTTTCCACGTCTATTATAAGATGATTATATTTTAATTAAAAGCAGCTTAAGGATTGAATAAAAAAATTAAAAACAATTATGTGTTTGGAAGAACTTTAATCATGTCTGAGATCAGAAAATGTTTTGTATATGTAGACGTATATTTCTTAAGACTTGATTTATAATAGTTCCTAACTACGGAGTCCTAACTTAGGAATCCTAAGTGCTGATTGATTGAATTCAAAGGGTTTGAGGAAAATAAAAATTATGTTTGATTGTTAAAAAATAAAATAAAATAAAATAATGTTTATCTGGATTTCTATGACTAACCGCCTCTTGGTGAAAGTGTTTCCCGGAATCTGGGGCCACGGCAAGCGTCTGCATCTCAGTTTCAGCGAGGAGCAGCTGCTGGCACCTGTGAGCTGCTCGGGCAGCAGTTGCAGGCTGCAACTATAAAATACCAATTTACTCCGCATGCAGTTAGTACACTTTCTTGGCAACGAGACCCGCCCGCCTGCCAGCCTCACCATCCCAACCCCAACCACAGTCCCGAGCCCGATTCCGATTCCGGCTGGCATTCCCTGGCTCCTTGGCCCGGATCTGGAGGGGATGTTGATGCTGGGAATGTGTGTGCGGATGGGTTTTTCGCTCTGCTCTCTGGGCTTTCTTTTAGCCGGAGCCATTTTATGTATTTTTATGGTAGGTTGCAGCCACTGACGCTGCTGCCGCTTGGCCCGGAAAGCGGAAACCGAAAATTGCTACTTATTATGTTACTAACTTTGTGTTGCCTCCTTTTGCCCTCCTCCCAACTCCTTCTGTATGTGTGTGTGTGTGTGTGTGTGTGTGGAGAAAGCCCGTTGTTGGCTGGTGTGATAATGTCAGGTTTTGTTAAAATTAAATTGCATGTCTTGCTGCGTTGAAGTTAAATTATGGCCTCCCAGGGTCGAAGGTGTGGCATTCAACTTTACATCTCCAACTGGGAATAGTTTCACGAAAACTTTTTTCACCTCGTCTAGCGTTCAACTTAAAGCCGTCCATAGAAACAGGACACCCGAAAATTTCATTGGGACATCAAACAATTTTTTTTTAAATCTCATGTAGATTTTATATTCCTTTTTTTTTGTGGGACATTTTCGGATTTATTTTCCGCAGCCCCCCAGCAGGGCAGCAGAAATATAACATTTTTTGCGTTTCACCGCAAACAGTATGCAACAGATTTTTTCTTAGCCACATGGTGCCGGGACAAAAACAGTCGCCCATTTCGGCGAGCGCGCTCCAGCGCCAAAATGTATGCAATGTTTCCTTTTACTTGCCTTTTTTCCCTTTTTTTTTTAGTTGACTGCGATAACCACACGCTGTGATTTTTACCGGCATTACGAAATATTAACAGCATACCGCAAACATAAGAAAGACGATATTTCCTTTTTAAGACAGCCCAGAACTAAAGGAAAGAGGAAAATTTGAGTAATGGCTGCTTGATGCCCCAGAGACTAGCTTTGTGGTAATGCACTTGTCTTAGAAATTCCTGTTCCTTGCGAATTTAAAGTTCAAATTACTTGTGGTACAAGACAGCAATTAAAATTGGTTTTAAGTGATTCTGAAGAAGACAACTTTCGGGTAGTCAAAGTAAACTTTATATCTGTAATTAATAACAGAACATGCTAGACATGGGCAAAGGAAAATATCAAATTATGCCATTTTCCTCTGGCCAAAATGATTGAGTAGTTGAGGAAATAATAACAGTTTGTGAACGAAGTCCTTCAAGTTCAACTTATTTCTAGAACTTAAAGTAAACCAAATAATACATTCATAATGAAATATATTATTAATTAAATAATGAATGTGTGTTCTGTCATATTGATGGTACAACTAAACCTCTAAGAGCCAAACATGTTTGTGCTGTATAAAAAGTTAGTTTAGGTTTGCATGTTTGCTCAACAATTAAAGTGTAGCCGATCCATCATCGACTATCCTTGACCTTGGTAATGAGAAAACCTCTTGGAATTCCATATGAAAGCGTCTTTTCTCCAAGCCATCAACTCTTTGCCCGTGGCAGCTTTGGCCAACATGAAAAACAACACGTTCCCTGGCAATAAATCTTGGTCGACTAGCATTTTGCACGTATGGGGAAAGAAGGAAAACACGAGAGACAGTTCAAGACAGACAGGAGACATGTCGCATTCCTTGGTAGTTTCTTATTTTATTTTTTTGAGTGTATCTCTGTGACCTTTGGCCAACGGGGAAATGGTAGACAAATATGGCCACTACAATGAAAAGAGGAAAATGGCCTCAATGAGCCATAACGTTTTCCATTTTCAATTGGAAATTCCAGCACGCCATACTGAGTTCGTCCTGTAATTTATTGGCTTCCCAGCCGAATCGTTCCACATGTATATGCCGAACACTCCGAGCCAGGACCCACCAAAGTGTCCCCATATTTGCTGCTCCAGGCAGGGCAAACATTAACGAATGTTCAACTACCTCCGTATCAATATCAGTTCGCTTTTCTCCTTTCCCGAGCGTGTATCTCTAAATTGAGTACGTGTTGTTCTAGCTGTTGAACGTGTTTCGGTAAGTACTTGGGCCAACATCCAACACGTGTGAGTGTGTGCGTGTGTGTGGAGGGCGCCTGGAAGTTGGCAACATATATCTTTCACTTATATGGATTTCCAAACGTGTCTGATTGCCCTCTAATGGCATTTTATTGCATTTATTAAAAAGAACTTAAGAGCTTCGGGCTAATACCAAAATCCGCAAATTAGATGCTTAAATGGAATTGTTTTAAGAGGTTCCAAAACACCCCAGGCGCACAAAATTACGTTATGCTCACAAGAAATATGATAAGCATAAATTTATTTTTGACTAGCTAGACAATAAAAATCTTCAGAAGGTCTATAGATTAAATTCTCCATCTAAAAATACACCTTCAATGTGTTTAAATCCTATTGAAATTACTTTGGCATAGATAGATAGAACAATTATACAAACCTTTTTTGAAGTCATTGTGGTTATACGCCTTAGATTTTTGGTTAAGTCAACACGACTACATTTATTCACATAATTAAATACTTGTAAATTTTGGGAACTCTCTCTTCAGGCGCACACTTATTATTTAAAAACCCACCTCGTTTCTTTTGAACACCTTAACCCCTCAATTTGAAGCCCCTGTCAAATTGGTAATACTTAAAAATTTAGACATCTTTCGGAGAGAACGCCACTTCCTTTTACGATGTGGCAGAACCACTAAGAGTGTTCGCCGAAGGATAATGCGATCGCATCAACATACAACGCTCCCTATCGATGAACAGGCTGCGCCTCTTGAGCATTATTTCCCGTTCGAGACGGGCTCGTGAGCTGACCAGATCCGTCTTGACCCGCTCCGCTTCCTCCAGTTCATGGAGCAGGGCCGAAACGCTGCTCTGAATGGTGTGGACGCCATCGATGAGCTCCTGCTGGGCCAGATCCCTACAGTTCTCCACATTGGGCCTATAGCTGCGGTTGTCCATGCGCGTTTGGGCCACCTTCATGGAGGCATCAAAGGATGCAATGCGGCGCTTCATCTGCTCAATGCGGTTCTCCACATCGGCCAAGCCCTGCAGGATGTTCTTCAAGTCATTCTCGAAACGCTGCACCGCCTCCTGGGTGCAGTTGATCCTGGAGGTCAGGGCCTTCTCCACCACATCAGCCTGCGTGCGAATATCCCTAGCCGCATTCATCAGGGTCGAGTTGAGTGTATTGCGCAGGGTCACTGATTTGAGGCGACACTTCTCACATTCGTCCAGGGTCTCCATGCTGAAGTGCTCCCAGTACTTTTCGGAGGCCTGTTCCGGTGGCTGTCGCACGGCTCCCGGTCGAAACATAATTGTCCTGGAGCTATTGTTCAGTCCAGTATTTAGGGTATCAATCTCGTAGGCCTCCTTCTTGTCACTCCAATCGTATTCAAGACGCTGGCGAGCCGTGCGATTCTCTACCTGCTGGGTATTGAAGTCATCCAGCGTCTTCATCAACAACCTGCGAATCTCGGCTATTAAAGCCAGCTCGTTGACCAGCTCCTCCTCCACCTGGTCGCGAACCAGTTCCGTATCCGGCCTCGTCGCCCGCTTCTCAATACACTCCTTGGCAATCGACTCGGGTACACCCAGAACCACCATAGACTTTCTCAGCTTAATACGCTCCACCTCCATTGTAGAGATCTCATCGGCCATTGCCTTGATGGCATTCTCCAGCGTGTTCTTCCATTTGCCAATCAGCTGAGAACGGATCCTCAGCTTGTCGGTGGTCTCATTTTGTGACTTGGCCACCAAAGCAGAGAGTCTCAGGAACTCGGTGGTGGAACTAAAGCGGTTTCTGTGGATTAGGATTGGAAGAGGGGTTACTGCAGGTCCTGTCAATCTGTTTCTGTATCCTTACTTATCCGCCCTGCCCAAACTTCCGTTGACCACCTGCACCGTCTCGTGGTTACGAGTGCGCCACTCGTTTGGACTATACCGGGTGATCGAGTAGCGATCCACAACTGGTCGTGTTCCCGTAATACCCGCCATGGGACTCCAGTCCACTTTGCCAGAAGCCCAGGGACCGATGGGACCCATGGGCATCAACTGGTCTTTGTGGGGCAGCTCGTCACCCTGCTGGGGCAAATAGCATGGTGGATTTCGCAGGTCATCCGCTTCGGGATCCATTGTACGCTGAAAAGAAGTGGTCACAAAAAATCATATTACATGTATAAATTCAACATTGCAAATCAGTTCGTATCCTTAACCCCATGCCCAAATACTTAAAGATCCCTGTGGTCACATATCCTTTTGGTATTTTCAAATAAATATTAACATTCAAGTATAATTTAAACCAATAAATATTGAAAAATTGCATACATTTGATTTCACTCTGTTCGATAATTCTTTCTGAAATTACTATAAATTAGAACTACAAACTACTTAATACTCGAAGATTAAACTGCATCATTTCGAACAACCAATCCAGTTTTTTAAGGAATTTAAATGAAAGAAATTTTGTGTATAATCGTTTTTTTGCCAGATGGTATTTTGTGAAACATTTTATTAACACTCACCGCAAATTGCATCTCCTCCATTTTCACAGGCCTTTGTGATTGTTTGTATTGCTCAGCCCGAATGTCGGCCATTTGCATCTGCTGCTGGTCAACTCCCGCCTGAAGGTCCCCCTGTAGCTTCTGATGATCCTGAGCGGCACCCACGATATTCATCACCAGGTGTTGCTGGGCGGCTTCATCAGGGTGAGGGGTCAAGCCCACGAGGGCGGGCTGAGGTGGTTTCTTCAGGCGGTGGGAGGGCGGTTCCGTCGGCAGGGGACATATCAACGGAGCCGGACAAGCCGACCCAGGATTCAACTCGATGGTCTTGCCCTTACATTCGGCACTCGCCTCCGGCGATTTCTTCTCCAAGCAATTCATCTTTAATAAGCTTTTAACTTGTAACTTGTAAAACTACAAAAAAATCAGATTGGAGTGTAAGAAGCAACGAATGTGTTTCGTTTGGTGTTTGGGGACAGACTGAAACTGAAAATTTGAAATGCTTGTTTGAAGGTCGCAAACAAAGTAAAAGGTTGCTGGGTTGCTACATTGCTAAGTTCGGCTTATTGGCAACGGTAACTATATTTTATTTAAAGGGATAAAATGGAATTGGTATTTTTGTTAACCATTGGTTAATATGTCTACGTTAGCTGGGGTTCAGAAACGCATTAGAATCCAGTAAGAACGAAATAAATATGCACTTCTTTAACTTTATTTTGAAACCATTTAAAGTCAAACAAGAAATATAATATTATAGCCCTCCGAAAAAGGCCCTTAGTTTTGTACACCCCGATACACTTGCCCACTAATAACTACAAATTTAGAAGAGACCGAATTTCACTTGGCCATGTTCTGGAAAAACATGATGGAGAACTCGAGGACATTGCTGGGCTTGTATCGCAGCAGATTGAGGACGTAGTCCTGCATGAAATCGGCCAGCTGCGAGTTGCTGCTCAAATAATTGGTGGCGTTCTCATAGTTGAGGGCCTTGAGTTCCCGGAACTTGCGGGCCAGCTGGTCGTTTTGGCGCCAACACAGTTCCAGCTTAGGCAGGATGGGCTCCTTTCGCTTCGGCGGCATGCAAGCGGCGTGTAGGAGGTAGTTGTAGCCCCGCCAGTAATGCAGGACAATGCGACCCTCGGGGGTCATGAAGGTCTCGGCCACATCTTGCAGCTCGTCGTTAAAGCACTGCTGGGTGAAGATCTGCACAACGTTCTTGTAAGTGCGATAGAATATGCGCACTACCTTGCGTTCCTTGGAGACCACCAGATTGCAGCGAAGGACTCGACCATACAGGTTCATGGTGTAGTACTCGAAGGTACCCACGAAGTTGTTGCAGATCAGGTGCCGCATCAGCAGCATGATGCCACCATCGAGGACAAACACATGGTCACGATCCTTAATGTCAATGCGAGCCTTAAAGCGCTGCACCTCCTCGTTGATCTTGGTTTCTCGAATGGCGGTGAGCATCAAATCGGCATGATTCCTTAGCTCCAGGGTCTTCTCCACCCGCGTATTATCGATCCGATCGAACTCTGACCTCTTCTCGCAGATCAGCAGGAACTTGTCGTCATACTTGCCCTTCAACTGATGGCCACACTCCACCATCCCCTTGCCCTTCTTCATTTTGCTGCTGCTGAAGATCACATAGCCGTCAAAGGATTCCTCCACATTCAGGCAGAACCGCCCAATCTGCTCCAGTTCGCGCTCGAAGAAGATCTTTAGGTTCTCGTTCAACTTGCAGTTGGTATTCCGCAGCTTCGAGATGAACAGCTGCTCCTTGAAGATCACCGCCTGTTTGGTGGGCAGGAATTGCTTGGGATCGATGCCCCAGTCGCACTCCTTGAACTGATCATCCGAGGGCTCGATGGGTCGCAAAAGAGCCGAGATGATGCTCGACACACTGATCTCGTCCTGGGCATCCAGCTTGTCCAGCTCTTCGCAGGCATCGTTGGCGGCTCGTTTCTTGTCTGGATCTCGGAACTGGTCCAGGTCACAGGTCACGAAGAGCGGCGGATCCAGTCGATGTTCCTTTTCCCTTCTTTCGGCATCTGCGGGGAGCAAATCAATGTTGGTAACCCACTAAAGTATATGGTAAACCTTACCCATTCTTCGGATTTTTACAATCAAATTTTTTCGGTTTCCTTGATCAAATATTCAAACTTTCTGGTTGCCTAGTTTATGTATGCGAGTGTCATCAGAAAAAGTTTTAAGTCACAGCTAGCAGGATTTATTTGAAATAAGTAAATGTTAAGGGTTTCTAAACAGGGATATATCACTAAGAATATGTATCATATTTACAGTTAGGAGTAGTGTAAGCGATAACAATATTTACCTTAGAGGATTACCTTTTTTAACTAGGACAAAACAGATATCTTCAGATATCATTCTTGTATAATTTACGAAAAGTTATACGTAAACTAGATACTTTTACATACCATATCTCATGGAAAACTCAAGGAAATGTTTTAATTAAATGCATATATTTCTGACATATCCAAAACAATCCCATTTTTAATACCTTTGTTGCCGTACTGGCCGAGAACTTGACTTGGCAATTAGTCGGAGCATCTAAGTAACGCTCTCCGGGAACTTCCTCAAGTGAGCAACTCTGAAGAGGCCCCGGGGCTCTACGATGCCATCAAAATTGGCGCTGTTGCAGGCGGAAGGAGCAGAAGAATGCCTGACATGCTCCTCAACTAATTGCAAGGCCAACAGCCCTTCAGACGACTTAAAGAGCGACAAAGAGCATGTTACTGCCTGCCGGAGTTTGGGGGCTGACAAGTGTAAATAAGGACGAAAGGACGATTTCATGTGACTGTGTGTGTGCTGTGGCGACTGTAAGCGAATGGCCAGCAAATAAAAGGGTCGCCGGACGAAGGACATGCTCATTGTTGTTGGCTCATTAAAAGGCAAGAAGCGTGTGCGAGTATAAACAGTTAAAGGTGGCACGAACCAAGGACCTCTCTCACACACACACACGTGCACGTGCCAGGATAAAAGGCGGCACAAAGGGTGAACAATAAATAAAATGACCGGCCTTCGAGGCCGAGCAATATTAAATTTGTTATTAAGCTTGTAATTATTTGCTGAGCCGGAAATGTAGGCATCTGCCCGCTGCCGCTCCTTTAATTTAACAACGCGAATTACGCCCGATGAAAATGAAAATATAAATAAATTATGCAAAAGACAAAGACAATGCGTTTCTTTTTTGTTTTTTTATTCCTTTCACTGCCTTCCATTCAGGCTGGAGATCTCTCGTTGTCCGCTTATTTCACAGTCAAGTAGGTTTTGAAAGAGAGGATGCTCAAAAGGACAAAGGAGCTCCAAGGCCTCAAGCGAGGACCGAGTCTTGAGTTCTTTCCCTGCACTGAACAAATTAATATGATCGTCAAATAGTGCTTATATGGTGATCATTAACTTAGTTGCGTAAGTTCGTTTAAGGGTTCGTTCGTAAGGGTGCCTAAAAGCATGCTACAAAGTATTTTAAGCTCGACCGTCTTTTATTTACTGCCTACTTTTAGGCAATGTGGAAGTTTTGGTTGTTAGCCGAATCCGTATATAATTTTGAATTATTTTTTGCATTTCCCATAAGGGCTATTATAATAATTTGTAATTACTTTATATAGGGGAGTGCCACACAAACCACTAGAATTTGGAAATCACTTACATATGTCATTTAAGGTGGCTAAAAGTATGCAGTGAATTCTGAGTCGTCTTTCTGAATGAGTTCATTATACATCTGAGTGTCTTTAAGACACTAAAATGTCTTTAAAAAGTGATTTCAAAGCCATGGTGATTTATGTGGCACCCCCAATAGTATTGAAATTACTATAATATCGAATATTCTTAAATGATATTCTCGCAGTGCCTTTACTTACGCTGGAATTCTCATTAATTTGTTATGCATTTCTCTCTACGCTACGCGTAAATTAACTACAATTGTTTCTGTGCGACGTCCACTTACATTTAATCTCCGTCTTCATCTCCACACACTTTTCATTCGTTTGGGGCCATTCATTGCGCATTCATTTCAGGCCTCGTTCATTTCCTTTGCATTTGTTTTGCATTTCTCGTCATTGTTCGCCCTTTAACCTGACCTACCTCCCTCCCACGGCCACGCCCACTGCCCCGCCCCCTGAGTGCTAAAATAAATCAAATGTACGAGTGTGTGTGTGTGTATGAGGCCAAAGAGGAACTGACACAAAAAAACCAACTAAAAAAGCGAAAACAAATCTTAAATGAAAATTGTAACCGCTGCGGCTGTGCAAAAAGCCATTGGGAAACCGTTGGGAATGGGGAAAAACAGCGGGGAGAGATGGGGAAAACTGTTGGTAATCTCCAGGCCCACATGTATCGGGCTTGTGGGTTTTGGATTGCGGATTGGGTGGCGGTGTGGGCTTAAGGGTCAGTAATAAATGTCATGATATGAAATTTATTTACGCGCTGCGAAAAACCAAAGCAAAGGAATGCAATAACAACAGAGCCAAGGACCAAGTACCAAGAACAAGAATCGGAAGGACAGTGCCACAGAATCTCATACACATACAATACAAACCTTGGCCAAATCGCCAAAGACAATTAAAATGGTATGCCAAAGAAGAATGCCGAAGGGCTGAAAAGAATGATAGAAAACCCTGATTCAAACTGGCTATTGAAATGGGGAGATAATTGCTAAACGCTGTGGAAACCAATATTTTTAATAATATTACATGCACGTCAGGAATATTATGATCAACTTAAGTCATGGGCCAGAAACTCCAAAAACAAGTTCTACTTTAAGCATTAAATACTACTACTAGATAGTGATAATACATAAATACTTAATTAAAGAAGTCAAAAATGTATGTGCCTTTGAACAGATACTTAAATCCTTAAATATCTTATACCTTTATTTACTTAAAAGTATCTTGTATTTACACGCATCAGTCAGCTCACTCACCGAAAAGCTAACCCTAATGCAAAAATGTTCAACCGACTGAGATTTCCTTGACAACGTCCTTCACAAACACACCTGCAATTATACAGGAGACACGCAACAAGAGGCGAACAAAGAAGAGCTTAGCTCCAGTGCTGATAGCAAAGTAAATAATACAAATTCTCGCAATTTTTCTGTAATTAACACATCCCTCGCTTAAACGAGAAAAGGGGGAATTCTCATCACACATGCCATATATCATATATATATCTCGTTTGTTTGGACTGCGAGTTGAATGGGCAGGCGGAAGGGACCGCTTCAGGCATGAAACCTTAACACCAGGTGAAAAAGGGGGTCTCCAGATGGGTGGAATTCGCTTAGGACCGACTCGACTTGGCTAACACATAAAGCACAAAAGTGTTGTTAGCTCGCTTCGCATTTTTATGAGCTGTTCATGTGAAAGGACATGCAAGCCATCTTCTTGTTATGTTAGTGTTTTGCTCATGTCAAGTTTAAGTGGCACCGCTCGACATATTTTATGCCATCCAAATTGGCTTGCTCCGCTTATGGCGACTTTAGGGTTTTATGGTACTAAATTAGCCTTAATTGGGTAAATAATCATTGAATTACAAACAATTACCAACTATTTTTAAAAATATGCTAATATACATTTCCTAAATAAATGTTTTAAACATTTACAAGCCAATGAAAAACTTTTAAAAATGAAATATTAACTTCTTTATTGTAAATATCACAACAAAAAAAAATTATAATTTATACAGATAGGGCAAAAGTAATAGAAATATCAACAATTTAAAATGCCAAAAAAACGCTTACATCTTTTCGACCATTTTAAGAGCAACACAAAAACTTCGTTATATAAAATGCAAATTATTTTGCAATTTGATTTCATTATACAATCCCAGTGAGCATTATCAAGTACAGACGCTCCTTGTTTTTCCGTTCTGCCATTTTGCATTGACAAGCAAACAAACCCGAAAACTCGGAAAACTGCAGTGCAAAAGAAAAACTTGAAGCAAGGTGTTGTATTGTTGGTGTTGTGGTAACAGGTGTGTTGGAAAAGCTGAAAAACAAGCGAAAAGCGCCGAGTGCACAGTCTGTTCGAAAAAGTTGATTGTTGTCTAGTTTTGTTTTATTTTACAATAATACTTTTTTTTTCCTTTTCATTTCAAAGTTTGCGCCGAACACAAACCTATTTACATTGCATAATATTCCGCAAATATGTTAAAATGCCCGCATTGTTTATTGATATTAAACTAGATGGGTAAAAAGTTTTATTTGTCTAGCAAACTGGCTAACAAAAGCAAAATTGAACGCAAGCATTTTTGAAAAATTTCCATTGTGGCTTATTAATAACCCGGCATCTGGCCAGGTTTCGAGTTATAATAACGTAACAATGGTAAAAAAATATGTTTGTAAACTTTTTAAGGGTTATTTTCATGTCCAAAATGCAACCAATAAGAGTCAGTCATCATTAAAACTGGCTTAATAAGCTCACAGCAGACAGATAATGAACTTTATTAAGAAATATGAGACGTTAGCAAAGCATAGTTCAACTGACTAGTTGAAGGCTCATTAGCAAAAACGGAAGAACTTACATTATGTTTTGGGGCGTGCCACAGAAATCGGTTAGCTCTAAATTCTGGTAGAATTTCCACTGGTGTACGCAAGAATTCCGACAGAATAAGTGATTTTTGTAACAACCCGGATAAAATCATGAATGGTTACAGAAGCCAGGAATATGATTTCCTAAAATGAGAGAGAGATTTAAATAGATCATAGATTGATAAGTGATAAAAAGAAGATCCATTCGGAGATATAGTTGTTAAGATGGTTCGGTAAAACTAAATATATTTTATATAAATCTTTACAAGGTCAATGTATTTTATTTTCAAGACACTAGTGAGATCCACAAAATATTTTTCAAACTATATTCAAAGCCTTTTAATCCCTTCCGAAAAGAAACCCGATGAATGGCGGCTCTCCAATTAAAATCATAAATATGTACCCTTTCCATTCAGTTCGTTCGGCACCAAAGTTGTTTAAAAAACTGTTTTCAAAAGTGTAAAGTGAAAGCAAATATATTTGCAGGCGCATAAAAAAGCCATGAAAACTGGCGAGTGACATGTGAAAGGTTGTGGATGTGGATGTTGCGGCAGGATAGCTATAGCTGGCAGGCAGTTGGGCGTAAACCACTCAAACGCGCAAATAAATACACCGCCCGCATATAGAAAGGTGGGCGTGGCAAGGCGAGGCGAGGTCCTTTGTTTGCCCC